TCGAGTCTGGTTGGGAAAGCTTATACGGCGGCAGGTCAGCCTGGCGCATGCTTGCACACCATGGAGGTGTTACAAGCATACCAGGCTGACCTGCTCAAGGACTTGGATGACAGGGAGGAGGGGGAATCTGACGTGGTAGCTGAACTGCGTCGGGCCACAGATTTGTCCCTACGAGCCACCAAAGAAACGGCCAGAGCTATCGGCCGTTCAATGGCAGCAATGGTGGCCACGGAGCGGCATCTGTGGTTGAATCTGTCCGATATGCAAGATAAGGACAGATTCTTCCTCCTAGATATAAAAACAGAGCGTTGCAACCCGCACCCCTCCGCAAAAAGAACAGGGATCGGGGCGACGCTCTCAGTCGGGGTCTTCTAGACCGAAGACGGATCTGCGGACCGTTATTTTGTCTAAGAGGACCGTCTCTCAACTGAGGTTGTTGAGACTATACTCCAGTCCAGAGCTCCCACCACTAGGAAACAGTACGCCTTGAAGTGGAAACTTTTCTCTTCATGGTGCGGACAGCGACTGCAGGACCCAGTCAACTGCCCAATTGGTACAGTTCTGGAGTTTCTGCAGGAGCGATTCTCCACAGGGTTATCTCCCTCCACTCTGAAGGTATACGTGGCGGCCTTAGCTGCTTACCACGCCCTTCTGGGTGGTCAATCATTGGGAAGACACCCACTTATCACTCGTTTCCTCCGTGGCACCCTGAGGCTAAGGCCGGTACAGCGCACTAAGGTGCCCTCATGGGACCTGGCTGTCGTTCTGGAGGCCTTATGCAATGCCCCCTTTGAACCCATAGAAGAAGTTTCGGTCCTCATATTTGCCACATATCATACATTAGGTAAGAATGGCTTATCAGGACACGCTGATGTACAGCAATTATTCAGAACTGAGTCACAATACAAAGCATTAATAATTAAAGCAGACAAAAATGTATTTGAAAATTACACATCTTTCATAAAAGCCCAATGACAATTCATAGATTGCTAAGAAGCAACTCAGCAATCAGATATTAATAATCTTCTCATATTTCAACTATCACATGTGCAATATAGAGAGACCAGTTGTCACTTCAAGATTCAGTTTCCTTTTGACAATTTCACAGTGTAACAATCACCCGAATCTTTCCTACTACTGTATTATCAGTTCATTCTTAATCATAGATGAATTCTGGGTTTGTTAATATTTCTTATTCAATACACATTAAGTTTGTATCTGATATCTCTGTTTACACATATTGAGTGATAGCAAGCATGGAGTTTGCATCAAACCATAATAAATATGAACATGTTTAACAGCTAAATCCGTAATAATTCTATAATAAAATTTTATCTTTGCAGTCCTCTTTGTTTTGTCCAGTGATTCAGCTGCTCAGTGCTGCGTGACACAGAGCAGATTTCCTTCTTTTTACAGTGACCTCTGAATGATTGATCCCATAAGTGCCACACTAAATATGCTAAATAAAATCAACATTAATCAGCTGATGTCACTTGGCTGCTTATCTGTGACTATCTCTGAACAGTCGGTAATCCACAGCTATTTCATGTGTTATTCATGAGCCCCCCAGTCCTATCTTTACATTTACATTTATTTTCTGCACAAATGCTTTCTAAATAAACCCATTTACAGGAATGTGCATACAGCGTCATTACAATTACTTATCATCAGGCAGAACAACTGTATGTCAAGAAGCAGAGATAGTCTTTGATGACATAGACCAGTGTTTCCCAACCGGGGTGCCGTCTGTCGAGAGCAGGGGTGCCGTGTAAAAAATACTTTTTTAATATCCGCGACTAAAAAAAGGTTGGGAAACACTGATATAGACAATGAGTTCATGGAAATCAAGCTGTTCAAATCAATTAAAGATGCACATCAGCTCAAGTCTTTGTGCCTTTTTTAAAGTAAAATGTCCAGTGAGTGGTGCTGAAATCTTTTTACATTTTCTCCGAAACAGATAAGCATGTGGCAACATTTTTTCACGGTGGTTTTTGTGTGTATTGTGGCTGTACAGAAAGGAAATCTCTGTTGAGTGGCACTAAAAGGTTAATGCTCTTTTGTGCTTAAAAATAACATAGCCTTCCACCTACACTAAACCTAACCCATAGAGTTAACAAAAGCAAATGTGAGAAGAAAAGCATTTCAATTTAATCTTGCTTATTCAAGTCTCTGAGTTCTTTTGTTGAGTGTCATGACTCGTGTTTCACAAGATTCGTATTCTGAGCACTCAGCATCACAAACGCTGTATGTACAGGAATGTTTTCAGACCTTAAATCTAGGCATAGCCATGTTTTTCCAATGAGCAAATTTTGCTGTTCATCACTATGTAGCGAATCAGCTCATGGGGAAATATGAATAATTAATCATAACTAGTTATGATTAATTATTCATATTTCCCCATGAGCTGACAAGTGAAAAATTGTGTTTTTGATTGGTCCAGACGCTACAACTATGATGTTTGTTAATTATATTTAAATTCACACCCTAATTGAGATCCTCAGTAGTTTTGTTCTAGAAATTTTTTTTTTTATTATTATTATTTAAAAATAAACTTAAATGTTGGTTACTTAAAGGTTACTTTGGCTGCAGTTTTAGCAGCCACAAAGTGTTCCTAAAGGTGCCTTTCTTTTCAGTCTGTTTTGCAGTTTGGAAAAACCATCACATGCGCACTGTGACCAACTACTTCATCGTGAACCTGTCCTTCGCAGACATCCTGGTCACAATCACATGTCTTCCTGCGAGTCTTGTGGTGGACATTACAGAAACCTGGTTCTTCGGACAGACCCTGTGCAAGATACTACCTTACTTACAGGTGAGGAAGCTGACAACGTATGTACTTTTGGCACTATATTTTAGTTCATTTTATAGGGAAGCCCTTTCAAAATGAAGTTTCAAGTGTTTTGAGATCTGTACATTTGTGAATTATGACACCTTTGATCTTGAATATCTATTACTTCTGACACATCAGTTGACAAACCAGAGGCTGTTTCTGCTTTTTTAAAGTGATTGCTTTGCTTCCCCATCAATAAATCACGTTGTCAACATCAGTCGATGGAACTGATGGAGCTCCTGGAGATGACAACATGCTCCTCTGGTTATTTTTTAAGAACACATTTACTTAACCTTCTTTCTTGGAAGGACCTGATGGATGGACTTTAATATTCCAGCTGTCTTATCCTTCACAGTTTGAATGCCACGAGTTCCATTGTTTCTTCTATATCCCTGATAGGGTTATCTTCCCCAGTTGGATGACTGAATATTAATGAGAGTTTTGAAGTTATCAAGACTGAAGGAGCAGCTGTGAGCCATAGCTGCAGCTGCTTGAAGTGTTGATATGTGCCTGAATAAAATCACTTGTTTCTAATCACATTCGTGCCTTTTGATTCTCAAAGAAAGTCACATTGATTGATGCCAGTATAATGTAGGATGGTTGCAACTTGCAAATGCGTGCCAGACACTTCTTTGAGCTGATGTTTAGAATGAAGCCAGAACATCAAATTAAATTTGAAATACTTGAGCAGGACTGGAGTATGGAAAAAGTCTAATATAGATGCTATCCCAAAGCGTTCATGGAATTGCTGTACGGTGCACTTCAAAAGCATATCTGTTAGAAATTGAACAATTTGTACAGAAGACATGCAATGAAAATCAAGCGATAATCATGTAATCTGATGTCCTATTGTTTTTAAATAGGGTCCTCTTCTTCTAGAAATGGAATTTCAACAATCCACATTTACATTGTATCTTATAGCACAACTGAAAATATATATTTATCCGTAAATCAAAGGAGCCCAATCTGGACTGCTTCAGCTACAGCGCAGTGCGTGCATGCGTTCCTGCTGCTCGTTGATGTTGGTCTTCATTTAAAATCTTTCCTGGCCATTTTCTGGATTTCCATTTATGCTTTTGGTGGCATGATTATCACTGCTCCCCTTTTTTTTTTTTTTTTTTTTTTAGCAAATTGATGTTTTAGACCAGTGTTTCCCAAAGGGGGGTCATGAAGGAACTCCAGGGGGTTTGTGAGTTGATGAAAAACTAATAATGAATTACATTGAATTTAAAAATAAAAATAAATAAATGGGGCTGCATGATAATTGTGATATGATCCACTGTAAACAATTGTGGTTCACAGTAAATGCAGTGACTCCACAAACATTTTGTGGACAGAAGTTGACAGCATTTCACCAGTATTTCACCAAAATAAAAGCTCATTAATTTCTGACTGTGGACTGAGACACTATCACAAATAAAAAGCGAGTTCACTTTAAAGTCCAGCTACAAAGTCAGAATAAAACACGAATACTAATTGCATGTTATGTGACCATTTACCAACATCAGAGAACCGTGAACACGCAAATGTGTTGTTGAATTATTAAAAGCGTAACTATTAAACTCTAAGGAAATAGTTCAAGAAAATATTTCAGGTCTAAGGGCTTTGGCTGGCAAAAAAAGTTAAAACAGCACCCCTGTTTTAGACCAATCATCATTTATTTCATCAGATTCACAGATTAGGCTTGTCAGATGTTATTTTTAGGAAATAATGAAAAAAAAATGACCTAATTTTTGGGGGCAAAAACTGCAGCAACATTCACTGGGTCATGTCTACTCTGCAGTACTTTTTGCACAGAGACCCACACATGACATGTGGAAAAAGTAAATATCGTGGCCACCAATTAAGAATTTGTTCCCACCACTTATTATTTTTTTCCCGTTTTAGTTAAATTGTGGCCATGTGTGATACATTGTTTCATGTGCAGAGCTCTATACATTTGATCCCTGTTACTTAAAACATAAAACTACACTTAGATGTACACAGCTAAGCAACATGCAGTATACAGTAGTTTTAAGCTTTTGCATCTCTCCCTATCCATCTTGTGCAAAAACACATACAATAACACTTAATTTTAACATTTACTGTATTCAGGCTAATGCAAAGCATGCTGAGAACTACAACTCTCCTGCAGCTCATTCAGTTTGAGTTCAGCTGAATATAATCAGTTACTGAGTTCATGCAACTTTTTTTATAAGTACAATGAGCTAGTAATATTTGAGCAAATTTGACTAATTTTATTAAGTTTCACTGTTTGGTTTTACAGTGTACCAAATATCTTTACAGAATTCATCAAATCCATTGTTAATGCATGCATGCATTTGTTACCAAATTCATCAAGAAAATGGATGGGATATTACAAAAGTAGAATGGAAAATGATATTGAGGACATAAAACAAAACTACACATTTATTACCACCTAAAGTTTCTAAGAAAACATGTTTCATTTGAAATATTTAAATTAAAGAAAGGAAGGAAGAAATAATTGTAATATTTCAAATAATTTGTTTTTCATGACAGAATTTCAGAGCCCTCAGTGATATGAAAAAAGTCTGAAAGTTCACTTAAAAATTAAGTTAACTTAACCATGATAGTTTTTTAAATTGTGAGTTGGTCAGCTAGTATATTGAATATTAACATATGAACTTGAAAATGACAGTGCACTCTATGGCAGGAATGACTCTTTTATGTGTATTTGGGATGCATGCATTTAAAGAATTTTAGCAATATGTGTGTGTCCAGTTAGGAACATTACAGAAAATGGTTTGTAAAAATGTGGAAGCTCTAGTTTTTCTAAAACTTAATGCATTATTTTGAAAACGTGTACGTTCTTTGTCTGGCCATAATTCTTGTCCAACAGTGTGGTTTTTGGGATTTCATCCTCTGTCTGTTGTCTTCCAGACAATCTCTGTGTCTGTATCGGTTCTGACACTGAGCTGCATTGCCCAAGATCGCTGGTACGCTATCTGCCACCCCCTGAAGTTCAAGAGTACTGCCAAAAGAGCCCGCAAGAGTATCGTTCTGATCTGGCTGGTTTCCTGCGTCATCATGATTCCACAAGCCATTGTCATGGAATGCAGCAGTCTGCTCCCAGAGCTCACCAACAAAACCAGCCTGTTCACCGTGTGTGATGAGCAGTGGGCAGGTAAGAGATCCTTTTACTACTGAAACCTCTCCTATCAAGACACGGTGGGGCTATATACCATTTTAGACAGGCCATTTATTTTTACAGCGTGAGTGCTGGGAGATAGTAAGGTTCAAGCACTTATCTACTGCAACCTGTAGAACATAGTTTGTGGCTGAAATGATCTTCTCTCCACAACAGTGTTCAGTTCAAACCAATCAAATCAAAGATTTTGAGAACAAAGTTCTATGTTTTTAGTACAAAACAGAACATATGATGCCTACCTGTATTTAAAAAAAAATACATCACAATAAACATTAAGATCTTTCAAAGTTGTCTTTATTTACAGTAAGTAAATTAAACATTGACAAAATGTTTTATCTTGTGAAAATTCTACTCTCATATAATAGCTAGTAGTGAAACAAAAACATTTAAAGTTGTTCAAATGCATTTTTGTGTCTAACTGTGTACTGGTCAAAATGTATTTTGTATTCAAATATTTTGGGATGGGTTTTGAACATGCAGTGAAACCATCATATCCTCTTTTATGTTTTAGAATTAGTCACTTCATGTCAACGTACTGTTATAAATAATGAATGCCTCATACCGTGCATATTTTTTCAGTAAATTCTCCATTCAGTTTTATAAACTGTGAAATTTGTCAAAAGCAGCACAACAAATCAATGGAGCCCAAAGGAAAATGTCCCCCCCGTATGTTGCTAGAGTAAAAATGAATCAAAATCTCATGGATTCAAACGTTTATAGTGCTGTGCAGCATATTCCTTTAAAAAGATTAAATCTGTTTGCATTGATCGTTGCCTTGCTGAGCAAAATGACACCATGACAAATGAAAAGACATCAAAGGCATAGTGCGGCTCCCTGATGAGAAACGTGGGCCGCCCCCCCTGATGAGTTCTCACAATGGCCCCCAATGAGTCAGTTATGCCACAATGAAAGAAGCCTGTATGAAGAGGAGGTGAGGGTCCATGAGATGATTATTGGGTCAAACAGTAATCTCCCATGTGGCAGACAATTTGCTGGACGAGAAAATAACATTAAATAACTTTTTTCCAATATCGATCAAGTAGAATTTCATAGCAACAAGTCAAGGATTTTATTGCAATTGCTGCTTATTGCAACAACAAAGCGAATGAGGTTAAAATTCAGATTACTAAATAGGAATATTTCAATGGGAATATAATAAAGGAGTTAAGCTTCTCTCGGACTTCCCCTATATGAAATACTTAATTGGCAAGGCAAGGCAAGTTTATTTATATAGCACATTTCATACACAATGGTACTTCAAAGTGCTTTACATAAAAGGAAGTAAAATAATCATTAAAAAAATTATCACAACAATAAAACAAGGAATTTAAAAACTTTTAAAATGATTTAAAAAGAATTTAAAACAGTTAAAGATAGAAAATGATTATATATCAAATACAGTGCAATAAAGCAGGCTTGGACAGGCTTTTATTTGTAATTTTATATTTTTGTCTTAATATCACATTCTTGAAATGTTATATTAAAGCATGAATACTTTTAAGCTGAGTTTTAGGGAAGTTCATAATATTAAAACAAAACATTTTCATATTAATTCAATTATTAGCTAAAACATAAACCATTTTGAACTAAGCATTTTTGCCAGATCAAAGATGCCAAATTTGATGCCACCTCATTGTATATGCCTTAGCACTATAAATATAAGATTAAAGTGAAATCAAAAGTGGATCTCAGAAGTCGACATCTCCATTCTTTGGGGAGCTGCCGACATTAAAAATCTCTTAAAAGAGTCTTCTCAATAATTCTCTGGCTCTCCAAAGAGTTTGATGCTCTGTCACTATTTTGGAACTGCTCTCTGTAGGCTGTAATGAATCAAATCTGTCGTGAAGCTGACAGTATGACAACTGGTGCAATTTTGGCCCTTTGTGATGTCGTGCTGCCATTGCAAGTCACAGGCTTTAGGCTTTAGCTACAGGTGTTTGAGCAAATCACTGTGCTCAAAGCAGATGTCAATCACAATGAATTCAAGCAGATTTGCTAAAGGGTCTTGTTGTCATTGCCTGCTAGAATACCACTTTATAACGCTCTCCCTAGGGTTGCCGCACAATTACTGTGATAAAACCCAGCTCTGCTAAATATTACAAACCCGGGCTGTCAATTTAAACAGTGTGAGATGCTTTTGAAGAAATGTGTCACTCTCCATAGGATGTTTGATGAAGTGGGAAGAGTAATTTTAAAGAACCACATTGATAATAACACTGGCAAGTGCTCTTAATGCTTACTGCTTTTACAACGCACAGGAAATTATTGTTTATTTTTAAATTCATCGAGCCCATTTTCAGAGATAATCACAGTGTCTCAAGTGTCTATCAGGCCTCTCTGTGACAATGGAGAGATGATTCGAAACACATTTCTATCTCCATTAAATGACTGTTTGTTATCACATGTTCTCATTTGCTGCTTTTCCTAGAATTGAGAAATGAAGTTCCATAAATAAAAATTTTTTTCTAGCTTCCATTGCTTAAATTGCTGCTGCAAAGTCAAACTTCCCTTGTGTTTTCCCCCTCATTTTCATGTCCTTGATTTTACTGCTGATTATATATATATATATATATATATATATATATATATGGCTCCAGACTAACTATTTTTACTAGGAGCACTGTAGCCCCTGACTTAAATTTTTAGGAGCTCAAGTAAAAAAATGTAGGGGCACACCTTAAATCAACCTGCATTGCAATCGTTCTCATATTTTCCCCATTTTAACTGTATTACTGACAAATGCTTTGAGGAAGCTTACAAAGTTTATTTTACAAACAGTAACGTGCAAAATCTAATAAGAAAAGTTATATATTGCACTCTTATTAAATGTACCATTATTCTTCTATAGTCTTATATGGAACTGACCAACAACTTCAGTGATTATGTGATTTAGTCGCAAATTGATGAAAAGTTTGTTTTTCAAAGCACTTTGTGACTTTTCTTACTTGATACGCAAAAAAAGAGCGAAACTGACAAAATCTGATTTCTTGATGATTTGATATTTTATAATAGTTTGTAATTGTGATTGTATAATTTCAAAATATAAAGGAAAAAGTATAAATGAATGACTAATAAGCCAATAAGTGCTCTTCTGCTGCCGTCTACAGGTTATTATGGTGATTTGATGTATTTTTTAATTTTACATAAGTGTTTGTTCACCACAGTATATTTTGGTCATCCCATTAAAAATAACATTCAAATTTGATCATTTTGGAGCTTTAGAGTGCTGGAAACAGTTGTGTGAAATGCTTGAAAGCCATTGAAAATTGCTTGAATTTCTCTCTCAAAAGGTTGTACAAACCCTGAAATGAATAATGTAATAACATTCAACTATTTCTGCAACAACACCAAGGTTACAGTTAGCGTTACCGCTTCTGGTTTCCTGCGTCAACGCTGTTTGATCTGTTTATAACAGAGATTTGTGTGCAGAATCGGAATGCATCTCAGTAGATCTCGCAGCAATCTTTATTCATTCTGCGGCGAGTTCAAACGCTTCTCACTGGATCTCGCTGTGCTGTGCTGTAACAGTGTCGCGAAATCAACATTGGTTCCCGAGTAAAGCTGTTCTGAGCTCAAGCAAGTTTGTTTGCTTCGCGGTCCGAGCTGATAAACGGTCCGCATTGCACAGCTCAAATGAGTAGCGGGATTTTGTTACGCTGTAGCAAATTAGCTCAAAAGGAAAATGTATATAAATAATTACAGTTAATTATGATTAATTACAATTATTTATATGAGCTGCCAGTAGTAACTCTAGCAGAATTAAATTGCCATCAACCTGTTCGTCCAGCGAACATTCAGTGTAAGTTCATATCAACTCTAGGAAAGGATATTTCCGTGGCCACAGAAAATACTTTCATACAGTATTAATGCATTAGAGCATGTAGTAAGGATCAAAATTGTAAAGGGACATTGATTTGCAAGGCAGAATCAAAAACTCATGTGATTTGTGCAGAAGAGTTTTATTAACTAAACACCTACACAAACTAGTCTAACAAACAAACAAACGAACAATCACTCATACATGGGAAAGGGCAAATTAGGCTTGATGGATGAAGCCATCAGGAAAAAAAACAGAGAATGAAGCTATGAAAAGAGTCAGTTAACCACCTGAGTAAAACCATCAGCGCCGTTTTAGAACGGGGTCTACAGCTTATAGTTAACCTCTGTTTCGTTTAGTTAAATGTACGATACTTGCATTGTCTTGGCCTGGAACGAGCGTACAGATGCAGTCTCGGATGAAAGTCTTGATGATGGTTTGGAGGTTCGGTGGTGTAGGAGAATCACCTTCTGCCGGGTTTGAAGAGTGATGAACTCCAAAGATGTACTGACTCAA